GTTTTCTAACTTTTCCTGTGTCATGGCAAAATTTGTACTCGCTGGTAAGTTTTAATAATCACATCGATTTTGTTTGTGTATTTGTATTTGTTTGTGCACGTTGTCCATTAAAAAACGTGTTCAACTCCTACAGGAAAAGCAGACTGTCCTAATTACGCTAAAGCGGAGCTTTTAGCGGACCAACTGCAGTGCTCTCTGCCAGATTTCCGGGTCCGTAAGATCCCCATCCTGCCAGATAAATGGAAGGTAAATAAATTAATAAATAAATAAACCCTCAAACAATATTTTGACAAATACTTTGGATTGTGCATACTTTCAATAATTGAAAATATGGACTTGAAAACGTGAATAATTAAAAAAAATCAGCAATGTAGACATTTAAGCTAATAGAACTAAAGGAATAAAGCTTTAGATAAATGACCTCATTTAGTTAAACTATTCTGATGATGCTTGCATTGTTTGGTGTGTAATAGGAATGGCTAGAGTCCACATGCAAACAGAACGGCTGGAAGCACAAAGACTCTCCTGTAGTTTGGAGAGAGCTTGTGAATCAAGGGGGCAAAGAGTTGCTCCTGGGGGGTCTTGGTGACTTCTTGAAGCACTGCCAGGTAGGACAGATCCTCCAGCTTTAAACCCCTTACAAAATCAAAACAAAATGGCTTCTATCCAGCTGTATTTTAGGACTACTACGGCGTCACGTCACACGTGTCAACAGATTCTCTGCTGCAAATCGCAGCAGAGAATCTGGAAACCCAGACGAGCCTCTGAAGATGAACAGCACCGCCTCAGTCTCATCCAACCCTTTCACGTGTGGATCACAGGGTGAGTTAGCCTGCAGCCTTCTGCTGAGGTGTTTCCCAAGGGGACCACAGTTGTCCTCCATCTAATGGACCTGGAGGGGAGCGAGGAGGAGATGCAGGAGCTACGGATGGATGTGGAAGACCTGGCTCTCAGCATGCTCCACCAGGCACGCCTCTCTCCCCAAGTTCTGAATGTCCTGACGACACAGACCGCCTAATGAAAACAAATCCAGGTGACTGTTCACACAGACCTGGAGCAGGCGTTCCAGGCGGCGGACGTCATCCTCCTGTTGGATGACTTCAGCGCTCAGACCGAGGAGAGCGACGAGGAGAAGACGCAGAGAGAGAAAGAAACATCCGAGCGCCACAGGACGTACGGGCGACTCATCGACGAACGAGTCAGCAAACAGGTGAAGATGATCATGTGCGGCGAGTCGTCCATCAGCCTGAGGTGTTCTCTGTTGGTGGAAAAGGCACCCACCGTCCACAGCAGCCACTTCGTTGCCGTCGCAACGCAGCTGGAAGATGAAGCCAGGGCAGTGATTGTGAGGGAGATGAACGTGAGGCCATCAGGTGAAATTGTCCTCACTTGTGTTTTTGTTGTATTTCAGTAGATCCTTCATAGTCAGATGGATTTTTGATGTTTTCTAAACTGTAGATGTTGCAGATGTTCTTGTGTGGGAGAACATCAG